ATAATAATAATTTAATAACTTCTAGAGCGCTATTTACATTCACTGATCAGCAGCGCTTTACAACTTAAAATACTATTGTAACAGTAAAATTCAAATTTGTAAAACTAATTATATGTATATTAATAAAATAGAATATTCATAATAATGATAATAAACTTAATTAGTAATACAAATAAGGGTGAATATCAAGCAGGATACGCTTTAAAAGCTACACGAAGTAAATAAGTTTTCAGCTTAAATTTACCTTCACACTTTCGCTGGTAAGCTGGGGAAGTTCTTAAGAGCGTGACAAGTTTTACCAAGCAGATCGCGAGTCGTGACTGTTCTGATCTTGATTGGCTCAGGAAACTCCGTGCCAGTCCACGATACATCCAGTTGTTACCGCTCTATTTCCTTTCAAACCAAAATTTCCGGTATTTTTGGTTAAATGGTGGATACCTGTAACCTGAAATCAACGAAAACATACAACTGAACACGTCTTGTGTTTTTATTCCCTATTGCAGAAACCAGTTGAAACGGCACAGGAAGTCCTCGAAAGAGCGGCTAAGAAAGGCTTAATGAAACCAAAAGCTAAACCCGCCAGGATCAACAGTCCCAAGGAAAAACCTAAAGCCCGGGCTCAGGCGGATATGTCAAGACTTCGTATCAAGGACACTCCAGGTGCGAACTTATCCGATACTGAGCAAGATCGAAACTCGTTAAAAGTCTCGGACAAGTCGAGAAAGCCTCGAAGTTGGCACGGTTCTGCCGAAGATTTGGCGAAGCCGAACACGAAAGATGTCGTGTCGTCCAGTCCTGCCCCTTCGGAAAGCGCTCCGAAAAAGAAAGGGAAAAAGGTGGCGCAGCCCAAACCGTTCATGTTTTAGTTGTTTCATAGAGTTGAGGTAGATATTAGGTATAAATTGTTTTAAAGCCCAGCACTGTGTAGGACTGTGTGCATTAGATTGGGGAACATTACTCCACGTTTGTAGGATAGTGCGTTGTTCAAGGTTTGTAGCGGGATCACAAAGGTCAGTCGTCATCCCAAACATTAGTAAGCTGATGGTATTTTGTGACGGTTTTATGTAAGAGAATATTGGAAAGGTTCGCAATAACTTAGTCTTAATTAAGCGTTCCTAGACTTTTAACCTGTAAATAGTTAAAAATCGGATCTAGAATTGTAGCAATCCACGACTACGATGCTCTACCACAAACATCACGGAGATCTGAGGTGTTATGTATTTACTGAAAAAACTGCTGAAATTACAATTTGTATATTTTGTGCAGTTGAAAGTCTGAGTCTTCTCTTGTCATGAATTTATTTCATTGTCATTGTTGTCATAATCATCATCACTGTCATCACCATTATTATCGTCATCGTCACCCTCAGCAATTCCAGTTCCCCGACCGGGAAATTCGACTTCAGTGTGTTTTTACTTTTGTATTTTTGCTTAGACGTGGAAAATCACCACTACATTGTTAAAATAATAAAACGCCGTAAACAGCCGTCCCCCGTGTTTCCGTGGTGACCCCCTTCTCTTTCGGATATAAAATCCCTTCTGAATCCAGCGGACTAGTGTTGCACCTTGACATAGAAATAGACAATTAATCAGGAGCCAGGGGTGGGGTGGGGGGAGTGTACAAGTAGATTTCAGACCAAAGCAATGCATCGCCGTATATTTTTATTCTTCTCTCAACCCTTCTCTTCTCCTCTTTCCGAATAACCTCACCTAGTCTCAATGGTTCCTCTCCCCCCACCCACACTCACCAAAGTTGCACGAGCCTAGGGTTTACAAACAGCATTTGAATTCCGGCTTGAAGTTTTTCAACTTAAATTGTTTGTCTTCGTTGGGGTTGGTTTTCACTTTGATTAAAAAAAACATACCAATTAGTTTTATTACTCAGACTGTGAGACGCGTCAACAAAATGCCTCGTAAATTAACATTTTCAGATAACATGGGATAACAGGTCTAATAGAGATGCTTCAAAAACCCCAAAGAGACTGAGGTGAAAGTAGTAGAGAATCGTAGCTCTATTTAGGTTTGAAGGAGAAAGGAAAGCGAAAATATATGAGCTTTAGACGATTTTGCCTGGAGTTATGAATTGATAGTGTAGATGGGATTTTCTAAACACTTAAATTAGGCATAGCGCGTTGTGACAAAATCGATGAGACAACTCTTTGCCAAAAACCCAGTTAATTCTAAAAAAGCTATCATGACATAAATAAAGACTTTGGTATGACGAAAAATATGCGGCACCGTTTGTGGAGTGAATTTTCATTCCCGCCTGGAAACATGATTAAAGACAATTCCACGCAGACTAAGTGGACATTCCTAATCGCTAGATATATGTACCTGTATATGAAAATCATTTTAATTCTCTCCTTATGCTTAGCAGCCACTGAGCGCTCGCGAAACAGTTTTCAATATTAATGCTGATATTTGCCTTGGGGCCAAAAAATAACTACTTACCCAAAACATTCGCGCTGTATCTACCAACTTTATCACATTTTAACGTACAGTTCATGTACTTGATACCTTTGCCATAAAAAAATCGAATGGGAGCATCGAGAAAAAGCCACGGAGATTGCAATAACGTTTTTACTGGATATTTGTTGAAATTCTGCTTGCATCATCGCATTTCACACGGAGCCTAATGGATTCTCTTGGCGAAGTTGTTTTCGTTAAGTCAAACATGAATTTTGGTAATTTTATAGATGACCAGTGGACTGAAAAAAAGACAGGTAGGTGCATTCTTACCGAACTGCAATGATTTTTTTTTCAGTTATTCTTGCAGAAGATAGTCAGGCCCTGAATGGATTGTTCAGATTCATCACGTTTCGGAAAGATTTCCCGCACAGACGTCCATTTGCATTTTCAAAAACAACAACAACAGAACATCTTCATGATCTCGCTGATGAAACAATAAACGGACCACCAGTACGAAATACCTCCCCTGAGGAAAAAATTGATTTTGATAGTGAACAAAAAAATTAACTTTTTAATGTTCCACACTGCCGAGAAAATATGATCGTAATTTCCCTAGCCTGAGACAAGTGGTTTGTTAGCTCCAATTAAATGAGAAAAAATCCATACACGCTTTTTTAACTGAAGAGGCCAAGAAAATTGCTAAGAATCTGGGTTTTAGGTTGGAATATTTTCCGGTTTGATTTTCACTCATGAGTTTTCCCAAAAATTAGGATGAGATAAGAGTTACTTGATTGTACACGCGGTAAAAGGTTATTTTGCAAGTTTTTTCAGTCTATTTTTAGAACCAACTGTTTGAGATATTGAAAAAAAAAAAATGGCTAACTGAAAACCGCTAAAAAAAAGTGCTCCTGAATAGAAAAAAGGGAAAATAATCACGGATTGGTTACAAATATACCTTTTCTAATTTGGCCTCATTTTTCTCATGAAAGTAAGTAGTTTTAAGTCGGGGGTAATTCCTTGAACCCAAATAACCTTGCGTGAAACCATTGCACTATCTTTAAAAATACTGTCTTGTTTTAGCTTTTGTAATGCCTCTCCAGAACTGCTCCCGTCTGCTTGACCTCCTTTACACCATCTAAGTGGCTTTTGACACCTTGAGTCCGGATCCCACAATGACCACAATCAGAAACCAGCCGAAGTGTTGAGACAGTTCATTCAGTTCAAATTGCTCCCCTTTACCCCAAACTGACCAATGTCGGGACAAGATGGACAAGGCTTGCCTTCCAAGACTGACTTTTTTAGTTCAAACTTAATTATTTTTTCAAGCCTTCACATCACCATAAAAACTGCCAAATTCAGCGTCAGTGTTTAAAGATTGGTAACTTTACTAATTTCGCTATCTTTCCGGCGTTTCTGATACCCAGTTCGTAGTACAACATTTCCTAATATGACTGAAAAGCCAATGCAGAAACCTGACTATTCCGGTGACAGAAGACACGAAATAAAGAAAAATAGAGATCAAATAAGCATGTTCATCGGTTGAACTCTTGAATCTTTGTAACATTCAATAACTGTTCGCTCCTTATAATAAATAAACTAATCTTATTATACATGTAGGTTAATTAATCCAAGCTAGAAATTAACTTATAGTGCAATTTGTTTTCGTCGCCACCAACCTCCTCGTAAAAATAAATGCATATCTGCACGGAGATATTTTTACTGGTCTGCTTGATTAAATCTGCGTGTCATACAGGATGAGGAATGCCCCTAGCTGAGTTTCTCCCGGCATGCTGGGATCACGTTTACACAAGAGGACGATTTTCTAGATTCACTAGCTCGATAAATATTTTCGGATTCATCATATTGAGGCTATTTGGATTCGCAGGCGTTTACACACTAAAAAGGGTTTTCGGAGTCCCAACCGTTTACAGACGTCAATAATGTGTGGAAAATCGGCACGTAGAAAAAACGGTTACCAGGTGTAAGTGGAAAAATATCTGGATTTATTAGAAGATTTCTTTTACACTACTTAACATTGTGAATTAAACAGCAGTGATTCGAATACGACAGTATTTATTTTAGATATTGGATTCATCAAGGTGGAGGAAAACTGGCATGCGAATACTTAGTCAAATTCACATGGAGAATTGACATGATAATGACAACAAAGACTATCACCATTTTCGTCCCCAGAGCTCCCTGTCCCTTTCAGGTTGGTGGGGCCTTGGTGCGAGGAAGGCGTATGATTTGATAGGATCATCTAGTGCCTGTATTTAGGTCCAGAAATTATCCACTGGGTTCAGACCTTCAGGAAGTCTTCTATAACAAAACATAAGAATCCAGTCATGTGCAGTCACATCCGACTAAAATATTGTACTTCTAGCCATAATCTGTTTTTAAGTTCTCTGAGGCTCCCTCGGGGTAACGCAGTCAAAGCGCAGTTTAAGAATGCATGTAGATTTTTCACGACTCTGATCTGGTTCGAGGATCTAGCACGGTTATTTTCAATTAATTTGTTATTTAAGCTAGAACAAATTCTGATCGGAAGCATGTTTAAGTAAAGAGGTTAACTTACTTTACCAATAAGGAAGTTTCTTTTTCTTCCGTTTCATGACTTTTTCCTGCCCTCAGGCCCCAAGGACAAAAAATCTAAATGAAGCAAAATTACCTACGGCTCTTCACCTGTCACTCATACAGTATAAAGCGGGCGGTATATTTAAGTGTGACCCGCACGTGCCAAAACTTGCAATGTGCTGTTAACAATTAAACTTGACTTTGAAAACAACCGCATTCTGATTCTACTGTAGTCGGCGTATCTGAAATTTTTCTTTTCTTGAGAGCTTGCAATAATACTCACTGATCCAATTCGAGTGAACGTTTTTAATTATGATAATTAAAAGAAACTCTGTAAAAACTTCTAGGTGCATACAATCGGAGAAATTTCCAGACAGTTCTGTCGTTTCCTAATGACTTCTTCGCTATGGAAACTCTGACGCTTTTGTGCGGTCTGGACTTTGTAATTTTTTCAATCATTCATTCGGTCAGGCAAAGCTTTTACTGATTCTTGCATGCCATTATTAAGAAATCTTTGGATTTTTTTTAATTTCGGCAGTTGTACTGCAGACCGGACACGCAACTTGTTTATTTTAACTAGATCTTGTTTATTTATCTATGTACTCATGTAATTGTGGTTCTAAAATTCCTAAAAATATATATTACTGTCAGGCCCGGTATCAGGACTGTGAAACGGAGGGGAACCTAAAAAAGTATGGATGTATTAAAACTGATCTGAGAGTTAAGAGATATTAAAGAAGATTAAATAATCAAGATGAAAATTCTAGCTTCTTTAATTGAAATTGTGTATGTCAAATCTGGGGTCGTTAGGTTAGGACAAGAAGTAATCAGTGGTAGGAGAAATTTTTTTGTTTTTCTCCCCGCATAAATGCAAATGAAATGCAAGCGAGGGCAATCGTGACGTCACGAGGGTTGTGGGTTTCTTATTTCCTGCCATAAGTCATATCGTCTAGTCTGTATGAAAATACGCATGGCGGGGGACTTACTTCCTCTCGTCTCATCAAACATCCTAGGCACAGCCTTTTAGATTCGCTATGTGAAATCCTTGGTGTTGTGATCGATCGACAAGACTGCCAAATCTTTAGTTCTGTTGGCTTATTATGTCCCAGTTCAAAGTTGAAAAAGGTTTGATCGCTGTGCGAAGGCTCGAGGTTTCTTTTCCCATTCATCAATTTTGGATCGATCCTCCGCACAAACGGTTTGTTATGGCTGAAATTTAAATGAATTTTTGCCGTCTCATTTTTCTCTATGATCTTTCTATTCTCTAGTCACCAAAGTAAAAGGATTGTCAGATCTATCTGAGAAAGCAAAAATCGGGGAAAGGACCGAAACCACTACCAAGCGAAATCGAGGAGCTGCTACAAGCAACGAACGCCCTGGCCCTGCGCAAGGCAGACATACGTCGCTAAAGGTAGGAAAATTGACGCGAAATCTCAACTGCTATCTCTGTTGGTGTTTCATTAACATATCTAAAGTTAAGAATCTGGGGTTTGTGACCTAAATGGCTTCGAACGGGACTTTCTGTCGACTTTTAAGTTTGTGAATTTTCGAAATAGAAATCTTCGATTTATCCATCATTGCTTGTTTCTTGAAGCCTATGCGGCTGTTTGTACTGGTGTATTCCTGTTACCACTCACAGCGAAGCTCGTTCACAGGCGCGATGTGCGGTGATAAAAGATTTTTAATTCACTGTTCATCGTGTTAAACTGCCAACAGTTCGGCATCCTCGATAAAACACATGTACTACCACTTACGATCGTTCTAAAGTCTGACATTCTGACATTTGTATAGGAATTTTTTACGTTACTGCATCGATAGCAGAGATAAATCATGGAAGAAATCAGTCTGCTTTATGTGGGAGGTTACTTGACGTAGCTTAAATTTAAGATTTCGCACCCTTCTGTGCGAATATTGCTTGTGCAAACAACACTTTTATTTTCACCGCCTTGTCCTTGGCCCGTACGATTTGCAGATGGATAAATTTCAAGTCTGAAGACTTACAAAGTAATTAAGAAAATGTTTCTTGTATGTGAAAGGGCTGGACTGTCAGTGGAAATAAATTCGCTTTCAATTGTTTGATTTCCTAATTTATAGGAGTAACAGTGTTGACATTTTGCAGTGTCAATAGATCTTACAGTGTATTTTGAACAAAATTGTTTTTCAAACTACGTGTGACAGCTCTTTGAAAGGGAACATTTGTCACTTGCCTTTATTCTGATTTCTATTTTAATATACAGCTGGATTTCATCGTTCAAAATATTTGTCCTCAATCAAACAACAATCCCTTTATTTTTGGTATTTCAAGATAAAAAAGAGGAAGATTAGAATTGAGAAGAATTCTCTGTGATTTGGAGAATATGGATTCAGTGCATTGTCAAGTTTTAAAATCGTACGTTTTCACTGTCAAATAAGGGTATGCGTCCATATAGCCAGTGTCACAACAAGACTTTGTCAATTCACAGTTTCTAAAACAAACAATTTTCTAGGCTAGCTTAATTATTTTCATATTACACATGAACTTTGCCTATCGGCCTTGGGTGCCCTCAAATTTGTGCATCTGGTTGCTGACCTCTGCGAAATTTGATATAGTGTGAAATTGTCATGGTATCAAAGTTAAACTTCTCCTTCTTTTGTGCTTTGAAGTGCCCATACCATATATTTTTTTTTATTTTCTCATTTGAAAGGCTACATCAAAAAAGGAAGTTCGAAAAAAATCAATTTAAACGAAGTGCATTTTCTTTACGGTGGTTTTGAATTCTATGTTTTTGGTACAATCCTCCCACTGATCAGAAAAGCAAGGTCTCATAGTATAATGTAGATTCAGGAACCCATTGCTGTGGCTTCTGTGTTTACTAAAGCAAAACATAAAGATAGTAAGCTCATAATTGGTATTCCATAAACTAACTTTTAAAACTATGTCTTTGATGGTGGAAAGTAAATCTGAGACAGAAAGCAACGTCACATATTCCTTAACCTACATGTACGTCATAAGTCCTTTGCAACCAAGAGTAGACTAGAGAGGTCTGCCAAAAGGGCAGCTAATTTGAGCATTTTTAAAAAAATCGTAAAAAATTCACGTCTACTCCAAATTGGAATTTTTTTTGGAGAACTTTCTTTTCTCATGTAGACTTGAGAATGAAAAAGTAAAAATTTTAAGCAACTGATACATTTTGTATGAAATATGTACAAATTGTTGAGGTTGGGGAATTTTGCTTTTATTCACAACTTTGTTCTAGAACAATCAGATTAAGCACTAGCAACTTATGTGCTAGCAAGCCTGGTCACACAAGTAAGGGCCTCTTCATATGATCCCAGTAACCAGGCTAGCTCAGTTACCTCTACAAATTTTGTTGTCTGTTCATTTGGGGAATTTCAGACTGGTCGACTGTGATGAAATTCACCAGACAAAAGGTCCAAGAATCACAATTTTTTGTTTACTTATGAAATTATCAGAAGTGCCTTAACTAGGAATCCTTTTAGCTCCTATTTTTGTTGAGATAACTTGACAGTGTAGTGCAGGTTTCTTCCACCTTTTAACTTGTCTAATTGCTTTCTTTTTTAAATTAATACTTGACCAGCAGGTCAGATTATGTCAATACTAAAGAGTTTAATAGACAGTTTATTTGTGACCTGGCATGGCTAAGAGCTAGCTTAGTGCAATTGTTTCAAGTCTGTGACACATATTTTGAGCTATTTACTTTACAAAATGCATGGTTTGACATCAATTTCCAGTTGCTTGAGGCTTGTGAAATTATACAAATTGGACCACTCAACATAAACCTGCCACTTTTTGGCAGGTTAAAAGGTTATTCAATTTTTTTTTTACCATGTGAGTGTGCTCATTGAGTTCTAACAATGATTTAACAATTTACAAAGATACTATGAATAGAATGATACTAAAGATGTCCAAAGATTCAAATTTGCATGTAATTTATAACTATTACCTGAAGTAGAAATAGCCCTACTTACATACAGTATTCAAAACATTTTTGGCATCAGCCTAAAAAACCCTGAGCACTATTCTTTTGTAATTTGTGACAATAATATTTTTGGTGCACATGTACAGGTACACTGTATGAACTAGTACCGGTAGTTTAGATTGCAAATTAGATTCAAATTTATATTTGACCCTCAGAAAGTTAGGAATTTTTGTATACATGTACATATGTACATGTGTACACCAATGTTAACCTGTTGGTCAGTATATGACTGTGTGATATTGTGAGATCAATGTTTTTGATCCAAAGTTGATGTTCATGTATAATTGCAGCACATTTGGCAGGTTTATAGGCAGTGGATAATATAGTTTTTCAACCACTCAGAATGGTCATTTTCTGAAATCTGGAAATTATACTGCAGTTGAACTTCTCCACAATGGCCACCTTGAGACAGAGAAAAGTGGCTGTTGTAGAGGGGTGACTATTGTGGGGAAGTAGGGATGAAATATGNTTGTAGAGAGGTGGCCATTATGGGGAGGTACATGTAGGAGTGTAACATGACACCTGACACATGACATTTCTTTTCTTAAAGGTGGATATTTTCACATGTAAAACATATGTAACACAATCAAAATACATCTAGAAACTAGAAACCAAGCAGAAAAAAGAGACCAGAAATGCACACTATGGATCAAGTTTTGTAACCTTTTTTGTTTTTTGTTTTTTATTTTTAAAAAAATGGCATTTTGTATACATGTACACAGCTCGTCAGTTGTTGATTAACTGGCCACTGTGGAGAGGTTACTTCGTTGGTTGAGATGCACTTTAGTGGCTGTTGATGTTGTGTTGAGGTGCCCATTGTAGAGAATTTAAAATAAGAGTGAAAGTATGGACTATCCAAAAAAGTGGCCATTGTAGAGAGGTGACCATTAGGGGAGGTTTGACTGTAAATGTGTTTTGTTTTGTTTTGACCACTACATGCACATGTTACCTGTATTTGTGAAGATGTGAATCATACTTTTACCTTTTCTGAGACATCCATAAGAGCTTGGCCTCTATTAAGCTTCCGCTCTTTGTCTCTATTAGCACTAAGTGCAGTGGCCTTGGAATTGCCACTGTTTCATTATTCTTTTGTTTTAAGTTCAGTGGCGCAGACCTACTTTGGTTAGTTATTATTAACGCCCAAGTCGCTGGTGGAGGGAAGGTGCCTACGAAGCAACCAAGCCATGAGCACCCCGTGCCAGGCTCCCTATAGGCACCCGTCACACTCAAGCCAGATGGCTCAGTGGAAAGAAAAAAAAAAAAACTGCTGAAAAGAGGGGGATAGGGAGGGAACGCTGAGAACCGCTAAACTACTATAATTCAATCCACAATGCCACACTAACAGAGCAACGAACACACTGTGAGCACATGGGACGACAACGCACATACTAACCAAGAATACCACTGGACAATGTTAGCCCCAGGGCTCCCAGGACCATACGACTGCTGCAAACGCTACAGAACGCACCAAACGCTTAACAAATGCTAACAGATGGCCAAGACACTAACAAACGTCTACAAAAAACGCTACTGACCAGGCGAGCTCCTGGTCATAAACTAGGTAAAATTTCATTGAACTATATCAAACACTACAGAACGCACCGAATGCTAAACAAATGCTAACAGATGGCCAAGACACTAACAACCGCCTACAAAAAACGCTACTGACCAGGCTAGCTCCTGGTCATAAACTAGGTAAAATTTCATTGAACTATATCAAACACTACAGAATGCACCAAATGCTAAACAAATGCTAACAGATGGCCAAGACACTAACAACCGCCTACAAAAACGCTACTGACCAGACTAGCTCCTAGTCGTTAACTATCAATGTTAAATTTCATTTAGCATATTAAGTGTGAAGTATTCAGCATTTGTAAATATTTCACAGAAATCTGCTTCACCTTCGAAATCCGCATCCAGTGAGGCTTCTGTGGCTAAATCCACAGGAAGAACCCCAATTTCACACCGTACTACTCCACCAAAACCTGCTACAAGAACAAAAACAACCACTCAGCAGACTTCAACAACAGCTGCCAAGGTAAAGCAATCATGCTTACTGTTATCGACATGTATCTATTAGTATAGTTTTTTATATGGCTTGTTCTTGTAGCTGATATAACATGTGCTCTGATTGGCTAATTGTAGGGCATTTTTCTCCAGTAATACCCAAGGGCTGATTATGGGCTTGAAAAAACAAAACAAAAACTCATATAACAAACAACTCATTGACCTTGAACGTTCAGCCTTTATGGGAAAATCTCAAACCTTCGCCTTGCCAGCGAGGTCAATATGGCAAGGTCTTGGTCTGAGATTTTCCCGTAAAGACCCAACTCTCAGTTGTAAGTAGTCAGTAACAGCATTGCCAAGCAGGCTTTCATCTTGAAAATCTCGGACTTTGAGAATCTCCCTGAAAAGTAATCTATTTCTGTTTGTGCTTGGAAATGCTTGAAATCTGTGGTTTGAAACTGTTACTGAGACACCTAATTCCATCCCTCAAAATTACAGTAAATTGCTAAAAAAAATGAAAACTAAGGTAGATGTAAATGTAATTCCATATGTTTTTTTTTCACGTTTTGTATGAAATGATACCTTGTTCATCAATAATTTTAATTATATGTACATAGTGACTGTTGCACTGACCTGACTAGGAATAACTATTGTAAAACAATAAGTACGAACAATTTACAAAGACAGAATCTGTTTACTTGGCCTTCTTTAGTTGAAAAGGAAATTCTATGAATAGGATTTGCATATGAATTTTATATTTGTAGTGGGTATTGGTGCAGGAGCCATATGTTTGTGGGATATTCCTCTGCGATCATTTAGGATTTGTAATCAGAAGTTAGTTTTCACTTGCGAGTCAAAAAATAATGTTTTGCATTAATTGCACATACTATGCTACACGATTGGTTTAAAAATCTCATACCACTTTTTCATTGAATCAGAAATAGAAAAAAAAAAAAAACCAATTATGACTTTCTTGCACATATTATCCTGTGCTTTGCATCATTGTATTTTCTTTGCATTTTGATTGGTTCATTGGATTATCTGTGTCCCTTTTGATTGGCTAGAGTGATTACTTTGATTTGGTTTTATGACCCTGAATTGAAAACCACTATTTTTTTATTTTATATATCTTGACTTGCATAAAAATGCTCCAGCTTCGATGCTGAAGCCTAAATGTGGAGATGTTGAAATAATTATTATTTGAACCAGAAACAACAACACTTTTTTGGCATTCATAAAAGACGAAGTAGCACTGTTGTTTTCAAGTGATTTTGTTCTAAATCATGTACTGGTATAAGCCATTTGTATTTTAAGGAGCTGCTTTTATTCACATAGAATTATGAAATCATTGCTTATGAAAGAAGAATTATGAAATCTGAAATAACTATCCATTACATGTAAGTATGTTGCACACACAGTAATGCAGTGTATTTACTAGTACATGTAGTTTCTGGTACAGAATACATGAAGTGTCAAATGTGTGTGGCGAGTTTACAGAGTGCAGCGATATACACTGATTTGTTGTATCATGGCTGGGCAAATATTGCTATCCAAAAAATATTTCAGTTTAGAAATTCACAACTTGTGTAATTTACTGTGTAAAATGATGTATATTGACTTTTTAAACTGAAGTAAAAACTAAGAAAAGAAAAATTGTTCACTATAATGATCGTTTTCCTCAGGTGATCGTGCTGCTGACAAGTAACATTGTTGAAATGAACTTTTGTGGTAAATTACAGCCTAAACAATCATGCAATTACAAGTATGATACTCTTATGTCCAAAAGAAAGTCTTTGAATAATATTTTATTGTGTCTAATATAACTAGGGCCTGTTAGAAAGTGACAATCAGTCACAAATTGCGAACAAGAATATAGATTTTGAATTCTGTAAATTTTGAT